GGCGGGCTCCGTCCCCTGATGTGGCTAGCTCCCCTCACTAGACTGTGGACGATGTGGCGGCCGCCAGCTACAGGTGGCTCTTTTGGTCCAAGCTCAGGAAGTCTGCCAATTCAGGTCCTTGTCCCCCGAGTTCAGGAGCTCCGTCGCTGAGTTCCCGGGCCTGCTCTGCCCTCCGTGGGGCTGTGTCCGTCCTTGCAGACACCCAGCTGGGAGTGCTCGGCTGCACCATGTGCTCCAGGCGTGGTACTCATGGGCAGCCGTGGCGTCTCCGAGAGCCCACTGGACACGCAGTCCCAGCTCCGGCCAGACCTGCTGGCACACACCTGTGTCTGAGCAGTGCCCTCGGGACTCGGGTGCGCACTGCAGTCTGAGGAGCATGCTCGGGGTCAGGAGCTGAGGGAGGCCTGGGGACTGTGGAGCGAGGGTGCCCACGGACTGCCCGTCTGGCCTGCGCCCTGCTCACGATGTTCTCCTTTCTAATTTTGCAGCCCCCGGCCCCGTGAGAAACCTGACGGTCGAGGCTCCGACCAACAGCTCCATCAGCCTGAGCTGGGCAGTCCCCGAAGGCCCAGCCCTGCAGAACTACACCTACTGGGTCCAGTGCACTGCCGAGGGCACAGAGCAAACCCTGAACACCACGGACACCAGAGTCACGGTGGGTGGCCTGCAAGCCGGGACCTTGTATGTGTGCTCCGTGTGGGCGGAGGAGGATGGAAGTGCCACAGAACTGAAGACTCCCACAGGTGAGTGGCAGCCACTGTTTAGTCAGAGCTTTTACTTTTTTTTTTTTTTGGAGAGATTTTCACTGTAGGGCGCGTGCGCTCGCCAGACAGACAGAGAGACATTAGAGACAGAAAGCGAGAAATCACCCCCCAGGGGGGATGGTCACGCCGCAATCCCTTCTCCTCCATTCTCTTCTCAGGATCTTGGGCACGCACGCACACGCGCCCGGAGAGAGTTTTAAGCCACCGGGTCCAGGACGCGAACCGCGGTCGACTACGTGGGAGTCCAGTGACATAGCCATTACGCTAACTGCTGGTTCCCAGAGCTTTTACTTTTTAAGGGAGGGGTAGGGTGAAAACTGGCAGGTCCTGTAGTCCAGCACACGTACAAAGGAATCCACTTAGTAAGTGCCGTACTCTGCCAGCCGCCGTGGAGTAAGGACTGTGGCTGGAATGAACCGTCGTGAGGACTTCTGTGGGGCAGCCATGTGTGCATGCATGCCCAAGGTCCCCAGAGGAAAATGGAAGAGAAGGAATCGGAGTGTAGCCATCCCACTGGGGGGTTTCTCACTTTCACTCTCACCGTATGTCTCTCTCTCCGGTGAGCGCACCTGCCCTATGACAAAAAACAATTCTAAAAAGTTATATGTGATTGGGCCAGCAGGTGGTGTGGTGGTTAAGGTGCTGGACCCCCTCTTGGCCAGTTGGGGTCTGAGTCTGAGACCCAGCGGCTTGAAAATCATGTCGGACGTGTGTGTGCATGCCTGGAATCCCAGGAGAGGATGGAGGAGGGGTTGTGGTGTGGCATGTCCCCTAGGGGCTGCTTTCTCATTTTCTCTCTCTGTCTCTCTCCGTTGAGTGCAGACACTCCAGAGAAGAAGAAAAAAATGACACGTAACTGATGTAAAAGGGTTCAGTGAGATAGTTAACACTCTTAGTTTTATGCCGGTCTTCAGAACTCGTGCTGCTCCCAAGGGGAGCATCTCAGTGTGAACGAGCCGTGCCATCGAGGCTCAGGAGCCCCGGGGAGCTCACATCTGCCCTGCAGGGCAGTGCAGGCCCGGGCATCCCACCTACACCTACTGAGTCCAGTGGTGGAAACACAGCTGGGAAATTGGGGGACCGGAAACAGCAACTGGTTTTCCTCTCGTCCCAACTTTCAGCTCCCAACTCAGTCAGAAACCTGAGTGTGGAGGCTCGGGGCAGCAGCACCATCACCCTGAGCTGGGAGGCCCCTGAGGACGGAGCTCCTGGGGGCTACACCTACGGGGTCCAGTGGACTGAAGGTGGAGACACGAATGAGACCCGAGACACGGCAGACACCCATTACACGGTGGAGGGGCTTACGCCGGCATCCTGGTACGAGCTGTCTGTGTGGGCATGGAAGAACAGGGTACCTAGCTCCAGGAGGACCCTCAGGGAGACCACAGGTGAGCAGCCCCCACCCCCACACGCACGCACCGCGTTCTCTTCTCTTGCTTTGCACAAAGAGTGGCAGAGGGTGGCTGAGAACCTGCCGAAGACGGTGCCTGCTCCTCTCGCGTCTATTCCGGGTGGCGTGGGGACTGACACGTCCTCAGGTCTCACAGGGCCAGGCCTTTAGTGACCACAGGAGACAGGTCACATCCACGCTCTTAGGTTCAGGAGGTGAGGAGACTGTCCAGGGACCTCTGCCTAGGAGTGGGGCTCTGGACCTTCACACTAGGGTGCCTCTCAGCGCTGGGCGGCGTAGGGCCAGGCCATGTTGCTTGAGCTGTGGAGCGCAGGTCACGGGCAGTGGGGACACTCTGACCCTCTGTCTCTTCTACTAGCTCCCAGGTGTCCCACACACGGAGGGTGGACGCTCAGGTGGCTGGCTCCGTCACCTGATGTGGCTAGCTCCCCTCACTAGACTGTGGACGATGTGGCGGCCGCCAGCTACAGGTGGCTCTTTTGGTCCAAGCTCAGGAAGTCTGCCAATTCAGGTCCTTGTCCCCCGAGTTCAGGAGCTCCGTCGCTGAGTTCCCGGGCCTGCTCTGCCCTCCGTGGGGCTGTGTCCGTCCTTGCAGACACCCAGCTGGGAGTGCTCGGCTGCACCATGTGCTCCAGGCGTGGTACTCATGGGCAGCCGTGGCGTCTCCGAGAGCCCACTGGACACGCAGTCCCAGCTCCGGCCAGACCTGCTGGCACACACCTGTGTCTGAGCAGTGCCCTCGGGACTCGGGTGCGCACTGCAGTCTGAGGAGCATGCTCGGGGTCAGGAGCTGAGGGAGGCCTGGGGACTGTGGAGCGAGGGTGCCCACGGACTGCCCGTCTGGCCTGCGCCCTGCTCACGATGTTCTCCTTTCTAATTTTGCAGCCCCCGGCCCCGTGAGAAACCTGACGGTCGAGGCTCTGACCAACAGCTCCATCAGCCTGAGCTGGGCAGTCCCCGAAGGCCCAGCCCTGCAGAACTACATCTACTGGGTCCAGTGCACTGCCGAGGGCACAGCGCGGACCCTGAACACCACGGACACCAGAGTCACGGTGGATGGTCTGCAAGCCGGGACTTTGTATGTGTGCTCCGTGTGGGTGGAGGAGGATGGAGTTAATAGTTCCTTGGAGACTCAGAATGCTGGCACTGGTGAGAAGCTGTCTTCGAGCTCGTTAAGGCCGGTGGGGGGTGTGACTGAGGCCTGACTGAGCACGTCCAGGTGTCCGGCAGTGGTGCTGCCAGCAACCCAGACGCCCACTGCGCTCACACGAGGCGGGTCATGCCCGAGCCTCCCCAGCAGCCCAGAAGCCCACTGCCCCACTGCACTCGCACGTGGGCAGGTGGTGCCCGAGCCTCCCCAGCAGCCCAGACGCCCACTGCCCCACTGCACTCACACGTGGGCAGGTGGTGCCCGGGCCTCCCCAGCGCAGTCCCTGGGGCCTGTCTTCCTTCCTGCGGCTGGTAGGGTCCTGGACTCTGGAAGGCGGGCCGTCCCACCAGGGATAGCACACCCCCTGTACTCTAGCTGGGTTAAAGACTGTGAACGGCCGCTCTGGCACTCTGACTCCTCCCAGTTTCCGGCTCTGCCACACAGTGAGGACGAACTCAGCCCACGGACCCCTCGCCTGGTGTGGAGGGCTGCCTAGGCCCCCACTGTCCAGTCCACAGTCCATGTGCCCAAGAGCCCTGTAAGGGCAACCCCTCGAGGCTGGTGCCTATGATGCTGGATACTGGGAGGGTGTTTCTACCCCACAGAGCGCTCCCCAGGGCCTCTTGTCAGGGTGCTAACCCCATCCATGCAGGCCCCATCCTCAGACCCAATTGCCTCCAAAGTTCCCACCTCCTAATACTACAGGGCCAGGGATTTGGTTTCACTGTATGAATTTGGGAAGACCCAAATGCGTCAGAGTGTGAGCTGTGGATGGGTGACATCGGCACCCCCAGAGCTGACTGGAAACGCGAACTCTTAGGCAAGCCCCTGGCCTGGTAGTCAGGGTGGATGGATCCCACGTGGTTGACCGTGTAGTTCAAGTCCTGGACCCAGTGGCTTAAAAAACATGCCAGACAGGGACCAGCAGTTAGCGTAATGGCTATGTCCCTGGATTCCCATGTAGTCGACCGCGGTTCACGTCCTAGACCTGGTGGCTTAAAACTCACGCCGGACACGTGTGCGTGCGTGCTCAAGATTCTGAGAGGAGAATGGAGGAGAGGGGATTGCGGCGTGACCATCCCCCCTGGGGGGTGATTTCTCGCTTTCTATCTCTCTGTCTCTCTTTGTCTGTCTGACAAGCGCATGCGCCCTATGGCAAAAACCCCTAAAACAAACAAACAAACAAGCAAAAAACATGCCAGGCGTATGTGCATGCACGCCCCAAATGCCAAAGGGAGGGAGAGGAGAAGGGATTGCCCTGTGGCCATGCCCCATTGGGGTGCTTTCTCCATCTCCTGTCTCTCTGGTAAACACATGCATCCTCTAGCAAACTGAAAAAGAAAAAGAAAGAAAGGAAGGGGAGAGAGAGAGAAAGATGGGCAGAGACTCGGTCCCATGCCAGGCCTCCTGACCCAGACCCTGCGCGGCAGGCTCTCCTATTCCAGTCCCTACACTGGCCCTCGAGAGACCCTGGTTGAATCCCACATTCTGGGGCGAGGAGGCGATGCGGGACTGAGAACTGTGAGGGCCAAGAGTGCCCCCGACTGCCTCTGCTGTGTTCTCACCCTGCTAAGCTTGGACCTTCTTCCTGATTTCTCAGCTCCCAACTCAGTAAGAAACCTGTCTTTGGAGCGTCAGACCAACAGCTCCATCAGCCTGACCTGGGAAGCCCCCGAGGGGCCAAGCCTTCAGGACTACATATACTGGGCCCAGTGCGCTGGAGACGGATCCACAACTAAGGCCTGGAACGTGAGCAGCACCCAAGTCACGGCTGGAGGACTCGTGCCTGGGACTCTGTACGAGTGCTCCGTGTGGGCAGAGAGGAACAAAGAGCACAGCCTCGGGCAGACCCTCAGCGTCTCCACAGGTGAGGGGCCTCGTGCTCACTGCCCGTCTAGGTAAGAGGTTAAGATCTGGCAAAATGGCCCCTCCCTTGGGGGCAACAGGTGGCGTAGTGGTTAACACACTGGATCCCATGTGGCCGACCACGGTCAGAGTCGGACCCAACAGCTTGAAACTCGTGCTCACTTTCTCACTTTCTCTGTCTCTCTGGCGAGTGTATGTGCTCTATATTAAAAATATCTCTTAAAAAAAGGGAGGGGGCAGCAGAAGGCGTAATGGCTACGCTGGTCTTCCACGTACTCGACTGCAGTTCGAGTCCTGGATCCGGCGACTTAAAACTCACGCCAGGCGCATGTGCGTGTATGTGTGTGTGTGCATGCCCAAAATCCCAGGAGGAGGAGAAGGGAGGAGAAGGTATTGCAGCATGGCCGTCTCCCCTGGAGGTGATCTCTTGCTTTCTGTCTCTCTGTCTGGCAAGCACACACGTCCTATAGCAAAAATCTAAAAAAAAAAAAAAAAAGGTGCCTCCCATAAGCTCTGGGCTGCAGGTCTTTAATCCATAGTCTTCTCAGTCTTACTGAGCCCAGACACCCCACCTGAGACCACAGGAGAGATATAGCCATATGTGGGGACTGGCTATGCCCCCAAAGAGAGGAGAGCCTGTTTAGACTGTCCCCACTGAGCATGGGGAGCGGGCACCCAGGCTGTTCTAGATCTCCGTGTGTGTGCGTGTGAGGTTACCATAGACTGGGCTCGTTGTGTTGCCCACGGTGGCTGCACACTTGCAGGCCTCCTCCCTCCCCCCGAGTAGCTGAGACTGCAGGTGCACACACCTGTGAGCGGGGTTGGGGGCCTGGAGGGATTTAATGCACAGGGCTGTGCAGGGACAGGCATGCCATTGTGTTCTGGACTCTCGAGTGCTGGGGACATGAAATACTGACTTTCTGCTCCTTCTCCCAGTCCCCAACGCAGTGACTGGTCTCAGCCTTCAGGACCAGACCAATACCTCCATCACCCTGAGCTGGACAGCTCCCCAGAGCCCTGCTTATCCTCCCTACACATGCAGGGCCTCCTGCGTCCAGGAGGGCACTGCTTCTGCAATGACGCAGAACGCCAGGGCCTTGACTTCTAGGTGTTGTCCCCAGCAATCAGGACCTTCCAAACTGTGGGGTCTGTCTTACTGGCCTTTGGGGAATGGGCACTTGGAGTCAGGGAAAGCTTCTGCCTGCCCACCTCCTAGGAACCAACAAGTCACCAGCTAGACCATGGCTGTCAGCTCTGGGCCAATGGACTAAAAGAGCCACGGTGGGTCCTAAGCATGAGGAGGATCAGTGTTATTCCAGAAACCAGTTCCATCATTGAGAAGTGGGGGCTGGAGCTCTCTGCGGGGTAGGTGTAGAGTGGCTATTTCTGCTAAGAATAATGAAGTTGGCAGCTTCCTATAAAAACTCATTATATCTAGAAGCGAGGAAGGAGGCTTCCCCAGGCAGCTCATTGGAGAGGCCACGGAGAGGTCAGGCCTTGAGGGTTGTGCCAGATGAGTGGACTACAAGTCCCATCAGGGCATATGGCTAGGACTTCATATGCTACAGCAAGGCAGAGTCCAAGGGCTCATGGGAGTTGTAGTTTCAGATTTGCATTCCTTTGGGAGGATCCAAAGGTGGTGGGTGGGACCCAGGGCTATATTCAGGAGACAGGAGTGCCCAGGAGATCCTGGGTCCACACCCCTTGGATTTTGAGGCTCTTTCCTGTGGCTTGCCCTTCTTAGTTACTAGAGCCATCGACAATGGCGCGTCTCCGTTTTGCTGTGACAGGGAGACCAGTGGACTCAGGTAGGAGGGTCCTGGAGGGTACTCAGCGGTAAGCCTCTATTCTCATCCCCCAGCTCCCAGTGAGGTCACAGATCTGCAGAACAAAACTCAGACTAACGACACAGTCAGCCTGTGGTGGACGGCCCCTGCAGACCCCCATGCTGAGCTCTACACGTATCAGGTCCAATGGGTCAGTGGAGGCCATGCCCAGAGGGAGCAAGTTCCCCAAAGAGACCAGGGTAACCAGACTGACAAGACCAATGAGACCCGGTACCGGGTGGAGGCCCTTCAACCTGGGACCCTGTACAACTTCAGTGTGTGGGCAGAGAGGAACGGCGCAGCCAGCACCACCCAGAGCCTCCGTGCGTCCACAGGTGATACCCCCTCCCTCTGCTGGTAGGCTGGGATTGGGCAGACCTTGTCCGAAGGCTGAGGCTTCATGGCCTAGCAGCTGTGGAGGAATGGACTACAAAGCCCATTAGGCCTTGGGAGCATGGCTGCATAAATTGCAATGGTCCAGAACGACTGAAGGCTCATGGGAGTTGTAGTTTGAAAGGACCTATTTGTGGCCATTGAAGGACAACAGAATGAGAGTCGATGAGCTCTGTGGTGTGGGCTGAGGAGGCCTAGCTGTCTCCACAGAACTGCCACGACAGGAGGTGCGGTCGGGACGTGGTGGCTCCTGCTGACCGCTGTGTTCTCTTCCCTCAGCTCCAGACTCAGCCACCATCACCTCCTGCGTCAGCACCTCGGGGGGCTATGGGGTCCTCCTGACCTGGTCCTGCCCCTCCGGGGGTTATGAGGCCTTCGAGTTGGAGGTGGGCGGGCAGCGGCACAGACAGGACCGGTGTGGGGGACGCACGACCGTGTCAGGTCTCAGGCCAGCTCAGTCCTACTCAGCCACCATCACCACCGTCTGGGATGGAAAGAGGGCCTCGTCGGCAGCGGTGACCTGCCACACGGAGAGGGCCGGTGAGTGCGGCGCGGGGCTGGGGACGGCGTGAGATTCTCCCGGGCCCAGCCCTGTTGTGAGGGAATCACTTTTGTTTCCTATTTTCTTTGAAACAGCTTTAATGAGACGTAATTCACACAACATGCAGTTGGCCCGCTTCCAGCTACGAGTCAGTGGCTTTAGTGCTGTATACCCACAGCAGGGTATGGCCACGGCGAGTGTGGCTTCCAGGGCGTGCTCCTCACCCTCCAAGAGAACTCAGCCCTCACTTCCTCACTCCCTACCCCAGCCCCGAGAGAGCGTTCTGTCCGCACGCCTGCCTGTTCTGGATATTTTATATATACATATATATATCTTTTTTTGAGAGGTTTTTGCTCTAGGGTGCGTGTGCTTTAGCACAGAAAGATAGGGAGATAGAGAGACAGAAAGCGAGAAATCCCCTCCCTGCCCAGGGGGGATGGCCACGCCGCAGTCCCTTCTCCATTCTCCCCTCGGGATCTTGGGCACTCAGGCACACGTGCCTGGCGTGAATTTAAGCCACCAGATCCGGGACTCAAACTGCAGTTGACTACATGGGAGTCCAGCGACATAGCCATTACGCCAACTGCTGGTTCCTGGACATTTTATAAAAGTTGTTGGCCTTTTATAATTGGCCACTCTCACTTGGCTAATGTTTAAAGTTCCTGCACGGAGTCAGTGCAGAATTATTTTATTTAACTTTATTTATTTATTTTATTTTGACCAGAGGACAGAGTGGG